GGGGGAGCCCGCCGGGGGGCGCGGCGCGGCCGTCGCCCGGCTGGCAGCGGTGGGGGGGCTGCTCGCGAGCAGGCTGGGGGCGACCGTGCGGGGGGCCCCGTGCGCGGCGGGGGGCCAGGCGGCCTGGGCCAGGGCCAGCAGGATCACGGGCAGCGCCAGCATCTGGGAAGCGGGGGGCCGCGCCGGCTCCAGGCGCGCTCGCAGCGGCGGTCCAGCCTCTGCCCCGCGCCGCGCCGGGCTGCTGCCCCTCTCCTCGCCGACAGCCCCTCCCCTCCCCTCCCCTCCCGCGCCCCGGGCCGGGCCGGGCCGGGCGCGTACCGCATTGTCAGGAATAGCCGTGGCCCGCGAAAACCCGCGCCCCTCCCGGGCTCCGTTGCCGGGTCCCTCTGGCGCGGGAAGGCGCTCCTGCTCCCCGGGGTCTCCCGACCTTGGGCAGACGGTCGGCCCGTGCCTTTCTCCCGCAGTCCCTCGACAGAACGGCTGCTAAATGTTGCCGACAGCGTTCTTCCCTTTCTGAAAATTAGATTGGAAGCCGCCGCCTTTTTTTTGGAGGCGGGTATCTCAGCTAGCCTACCCCAGGGGTACGTTGTGAAGCTAAATGGTGGGTGGGTGGGCGGGCGGGGACAAGCATGCAGGCCACCCTTCCTTCCCTGGCAGGCGTGCAGGAGCGTGGCCTTCCGTGAAACAACAGGCCACCAAAGAGTTTTAGCGCAGTTTCAGGTGAGCCATTCCTGTGACGTTTGATTTGGGCACTTGATGCCAGGCTATTGATCGTTTGCTGGTGGGAATCCGACCAGAACAGGCTTCCCTGGCCTGGCGCCCTCCAGGGGCACCGGGTGGCAGCTTCTGTTATTTCCAGGGAGGTGGAAATGGAGCAAAGCAGCAGCACGTCATGCTGGGCTCTTGGCTCCGTTTGTGCTCCAAATTATTAACACGTCGCGTTTCTATCCTGCCATTTTCCCCCTTGTGAGGAACCCAAGGCCGCTTCTGTAGCTCCATTTTATCCTCACAACAACAGCCCTGCAAGGTGGGCTCAGCTGAGAGTCTGTGTCTGGCCCAAACTCACCCACTGAGCTTCGTGGCCAAGTGGGGAATACAGCCCGGCTCTCCCAGTCCCCAACCAGCTCTCTTGCCAGCACAGCACCCCACCTCTCCCAGGCCGCCCATGGCAGAGCCAGGGAGTGGTGTCCAGCAGAAGGGCTCGCAGGGTCCACGCACCAGGACTTCTTCAGCAGCAGGTTGCTGGCAACACCTGCCACCCCCCTCGGACCTCCCTGGCGCCCCAGAGCTGTGCTGCAGTCCTCACAGCCGGAGGAAAGCAGAGTTTCCCAGCAGCCGTCTCTGGGTGCCTCTTGAAAGGACGATGGAGACCCACAGGCGTGACGCCAGCCCTGCTTCCGGAAGGACAGGGAATGCTAGAAGCGTGGCTTCTAGATTGAGAGCGGTCTTGCTGCCACGCTATATGATTCTGGTGTGCCCGCAACTGGAGTATTGCATTCAGTTCTGAACTCATTGCAGGAAGGATATGGCCAGGTTGGAGTCAGTGCAGCATAGGGCCACAAGGTTGGTGGCCGGTTTGCAGGGGAAGCCATATGAGGCGAGACTGAGGGAACTGGGTCTCTTCAGCCTGGAGAAGGGGAGATTCGGAGGGGATATGTTGGCGACATACAGGTATGTGAGGGGGTGTCACACGGAGGTGGGAGAGACCTGTTCTCCCCTGCAGAGGAAGGCAGGACCCGCTCCAACAGAGCCAAGCTCAGGGAACCAAGGTTCCGTTTGGATGCCAGGAAGCACTTCCTGATAGTCAGGACCCCAAGGGTGTGGAATGGGCTTCCCCGGGAGGTGGTTGAGGCCCCGTCGGTGAGGGTGATCAAGGACAGGCTGGACATGCACATGGTGAGCATGTCATGAGAGGAGCCGGCTGGAGCCGGGGGTCAGACTAGATGGCCCGGGAGACCCCTTCTGGCTCGCTCTGTTTCTATGCTTCTGTGTTCTGTTGATGTGGACCCATGCAGCTGCCTTCAAGTGCCTTGGCATTCTCCTGAGCTGCAGGTGGGGGGCTGGATGGGGGGGCAGTTGCGGTGAGCGCCCGCCTTTCTGACAGACCCCTGAACAGAGGGAGGAGGCTGAGCGGGAGGGGCTGCTCTCCCCCAGTGCTGCTGGCGAAGCCTTCGAGCCGTGCTCCAGGGCAAGGGCTCTGCATTCCCGTTTTGGCTCTTGGCACAGGTTCCTCCCACCGTGCAGCCACTGAGAGGGGCCAAAACACCCGGCAGTGGTGGCACTGGCACCATTTTCTCTTTTCTTTTTTTAAAGGCGAGCCTTTCTGCAGCAAACTCTTTAAGCAGATATTCTAAAAGGAACTTTTCAAGAGCAGCAACCCTCTTCTTGGCATCATGGCAGCAGTAGCAGCATCAGAACGGCGAAACAAAAACCAAAGCACCCCCCCCCCCGTCCTACTTGGGGGACGCTGTGGGTGGCTGCTTTGCCCCTGTGTGTTCGGACTGCTGAACTTGGGTCGGATCCAGCAGGGCTTTTCTGATGTTCTTGTGAGGCACTTTCGAGTATTCAAAGAGATAGGATTTGTGTAGTCCATACAACAACCCTGTAAGGTTGGTCTGCAGCATCATCTCCCACTGTTCTAATCTCAGCTGGAGACCTTCTCCCTTGCAAGCCCTGTTAGCCTCTGTCTTTTAACCAGCTCTCCAAAGAAAGGCACCTATGAAGTCCAATGGTTTTCCACCAAAGCACCCCAGGCAGCGCTGAATGTGAGCAGTTGTGGGGCAGGAGTCAGGGTCTCCCCCCTCTTCTCTCCTGCAGCCCCAGCTGCACCTTCCCCAAGTCTGGAGGGGTCTTCTGGCAGATGCCAGGGCTGGCAGCAAAGGAAAAACAGCCGGAAGGAAGAGGCTAGAACCAAAGCTCTTCTCTCGTAATCCGGCCAGTTTGAGGGGCAGCCCTAGCCAGGCTGCTGTGGGGAGCCAGGACCCCGCAAGGGCCCACAGAAACAGCCCCGGACTTGCTGCCTCCTTTCTCCATTGCAAGTTGCTGTTCTGGCAGAGGCACCTGTGCCAGTCCAGTGCGGGGCAGGAGCTGAGGCAAAGGAGGTAGGGCGAAATGCATGAACTCACTGCCATATTTTAGCTGAAGGCTTTCTGGGCCAGGAACTACCCCCTAGGGGAGACTTTCGAGCCCTTTTCTCAGTGGGAAAGACCACAGGACCATGGAACTGCCCCATGGCACCAAGGATCTGGGCCACAACCATCTGTGGAACCCTGGGCTGGGTTCCCCTCTGAGAGCGGCCAGCCCTGGGCTAAGGAGCCAGAGCCTGTTGAACTAATTTGCGAGTGCAATCCCCAGCAGTGAGGAAGGATGGACACTGGGAGAGGGTGCGAAGGTCAGACGATGGCCGATTCGGATGGATTTGCCTGTATTTTCCTTGTTCACGGTTCTGTTTTCTTTGGTGTGTCCATCGATCTCCAGCTACGGTTTCCTCAAGACCAGAGTCTTGGCTTTCAAGCAAGAGAGGGGCTGCCAGAGCAGAAGGGAGCACTTTGCAAGGACAGCTTCGACCTGCGATGGGTGACTTGTCTTCCAGGAGCCCCGAGACACCCGAGCTGCAGCATCAGCTTGGAAGAGCTTTCCAGAGGACTTCCTCCTTTGCAGTTCATTCGAAAACCCCCCTTCATCGAACAAACATCAGCGCAGTGCACATGGAGGACCAGAGGGCCACGCGTAATAAACCGTGACAAACATGATTTGTCAATTCTGAATAGACAGTGAAATCATGAACTTGTGAGGGTGGCAATGACCAAAACAGACAACCCACAAGCATGGAGAACCAGAGAGGAGCGGCATGGAGTTCTGGCAAAAGGGTTGGCCTTCCAGCTTCAGTTGGAAGGAAGCTTTGCTTCGTATTCTTTTGACGCTGGAAGGCTTCCCACAGTGCGGGGCGGCTTCGTGGTGGAACACATGCTCCACGCAGACACAATGAAAGCTACAGTCACCCACAAACTTCCCTGGTTTCAGTTCCTCGTCAAGGCAAGGTGTCCTCGTTGAGAAAAAACATTTTGCAGCTGCAATGTTAGCATGCTAAAATTCTGCTCAACATTCCAGTTTTATGTTTATGGTTTATGGCTATGGCTGCAAAGATTGCTTAGAGTAGGATGGCTGGTTTGTCTCGAATGGTTGTTTCACTGATGAATTCTGTTCTCTGTGTTGCTTTGTGCACACTGAAAGTAGAGAATATCACTTGGAAATGTTTAACTGCATAGATAAAGGACCTGGAACTCATTGGTGAACTTTGTGGAAAAGGAACACAGAGTTCGCTTGCATCCCCAGGGAGACGGTTTCTTCAGAATTGAGAAAGGAAAATAAACTCCTTTTGGACCTGTTTCTGCTGGATGTTTAAAACTGGCAAGCACTGTGACAACCAGATTTACAGGGATACAGAGCTAGCCTGGCTGGGTTCACAGGCTGCCTGGGCAGGGAAAGAAAGATGCTGCGTTTCACAGCAAGCGAAGCCCTGAAAAGGGACCGTGGCTCCGTGTCAGAGCCCGCTTGCTGTGCAGAAGGGCCAGGGTTCCCTCCCTGGCATTGCCATGTAATGTGGGAATCAGAAATTCCTGCCCGAAATCCTTGTGATCCATGGCTGCCAGTCCGTGTTGGCAGTATTGGTCCCGGTGAAAGGAGGGTTTGGCCCACATGAGGCAGCTTCTGACGCTCCCAGGGGATTCTAACTGCAGCATAAGGCTGAGCCAGGCTGCAGGGCTGCAGAAATGGCTTCGTTGTTTAATAGAACTCTGGTGCAAAGGACGGGCATGCAGAATGAAATAATTCTGAGCCCCACAGAGGGACGGGACTCCCAGTCTTCCCCCACATAGGCACAAAATCCAGTCCAAGTTTCTCACCCATCAGTTCGGGTAGGAGGGGAGTCATGTTGCTGCTGCTTTTCTTAAACAGTTGGGGGTCTGTAATCCTTGGGGTTCCATGGAAATCCCCCTGTGGATTGAGATCAATCTTCTGTCCATGCCTGGAATAGGAGCACCATTTCTGGGTAGATCTGACGTGGAACAGATGAAGTTACTCCAGCTGAGCAGATAACAAGACAAGGAGGGGATCTGGAATTCATTTGCAGCTGCGCCTTCCGGTTTCCTTGCTGCCTTTCCCAGTGCAAAACAATATCCTTTTCTCTGCCCTTATGCAACTTCAGAATAAATCAGGATTTTTCCGTCCCTGCCCCCTTCTTCCTGCCTCACAAAACATCCAGAATCCACAGGCAAGCTCTCTTTTCTGGCAAGCTAGAAACTGAGATGGCAGCAAGGCTTTT